AATATGTAAAGTAAAAGGACACAAGTGCAACTAATGTGACATTTTATTGTGGCAACGTTTTGCTTTCCAGGAGCTTTATCAAGCCGTTACAAACAATACATGGACACAGAGGGTATATATAGGCTTAGAGTGAAGTGTAATAAATACTACTACTACTACTAATACTACTACTACTACTACTACTACTAGTAGTAGTAGTAGTAGTAGTAGTAGTAGTAATATAAGTTGTAATAGAGGTAGTAATACAATATGGTAGAATAATCAATTTGCACATGAGTAAAAGGTCAAAAAACTATTACTTGGGTAGCTTAAAAATAGGTTAGACAAATATTTCTGTTGATGGTTGGATCTGAGGTCTGTTTCAGTGTTCCTTCTCTGTTGTGTTCTTGTGTAACAGAGACTATGTGATGGCAGGGTTTATTGTTTTGAGGAGGATTTTTGCTAATACTTCAGAGATGATGAAGCTGCCTTTATTTTGCTTGATTGTATTAGAAACAACGATTAATGATGATTCAAGGCATTTACGTCTGCGGAAATTTGTATAATGTATGTATAACGTTCGCCAAGACCGTAGTCCTGGCACGGGTCTTAATCTTGCGATGACCCGTCTCTGGCTCCCGAAGGAGAAAGGTTTATGCAATGATGCGACGTATGCTGCTCAAGCACTCTTCTGGTCAGTTCATCTGGTGCATCTCATAAGCGACACCACCGTATGTACTCCTAACTGTGGACACTAGCGAGGAGGAGGATATGTCGTTATCACGGACAACAGCTTGTCTGGTTCGTTGACTCCATGGTACACTAGTGTAGCCGCAGTCAACTCTGGGCCCTCTGCTAGTTGCCTGCAGAGTGTCTCAGTAACTTCGCACAAAATTTGTTGATAACATCTCACCCACCCTCCCATTTACTCTCTTTTTACATTTCTTCACCACTCTCTTAACATCTTTTTCTCTCCATATACTCCTTCCTTGCATCACTTCTACTATGTAAAAACTTCTCATATGCTAACTTCTTCTCTCTTACTACTCTCTTTACATTATCATTCCACCAATCACTCTTCTTCCCTCCCGCACCCACTTTCCTGTAAGCACAAACTTCTGCTGAACATTCTAACACTATATTCTTAAACTTACCCCATACATCTTCTACCCTATTGCCTACACTCACACTAGTCCATCAGTCCTCCAACAGTTGTTTATATCTTACCCTAACTGCCTCCTCCTTTAGTTCATAAATCTTCACTTCTCTCTTGTTGTTTCCATTCTCCTTGTATCTCATCTACCTTTTACTCTCACTGTAGCTACAGCTAAAAAGTGATCTATCTGTGGCCGCTCTATAAACATGTACATCCTGAAGGCTACTCAACAGTCTTTTATCTACCAATACGTAGTCCGACAAACTACTGCCATTTCGCCCTACATCATATCTTGTATACCTATTTACCCTCTTTTTCCTTAAATATGTGTTACCTACCCTCACCTTCAAGGACCATAACATTGTATCAATCGTATCTGCTAGAAAAATGACAGGATGGATAATGAGAACCATCAAAACTAGGGAGGCCAAGCCCATGATGACACTCTTCAGGTCACTTGTTCTATCTAGGCTGGAATATTGCTGCACACTAACAGCACCTTTCAAGGCAGGTGAATTTGCTGACCTAGAAAATGTACAGAGAACCTTCAAGGCGTGCATAACGGAGATAAAATACCTCAATTACTGGGAGCGCTTGAGGTTCCTGAACCTGTATTCCCTGGAACGCAGGCGGGAGAGATACATGATTATATACACCTGGAAAATCCTAGAGGGACTAGTACCGAACTTGCACACGAAAATCACTCACTACGAAAGCAAAAGACTTGGCAGACGATGCAACATCCCCCCAATGAAAAGCAGGAGTGTCACTAGCACGTTAAGAGACCATACAATAAGTGTCAGGGGCCCGAGACTGTTCAACTGCCTCCCAGCATACATAAGGGGGATTACCAACAGACCCCTGGCAGTCTTCAAGCTGGCACTGGACAAGCACCTAAAGTCGGTTCCTGACCAGCCGGGCTGTGGCTCGTACGTTGGTTTGCTTGCAGCCAGCAGTAACAGCCTGGTTGATCAGGCTCTGATCCACCAGGAGCCCTGGTCACAGACCGGGCCGCGGGGGCGTTGACCCCCGGAACTCTCTCCAGGTAAACTCCAGGTATAACCCGTTATCATTTACACCTGGCACCTCAAACTTACCTACCACACCCTCTCTAAATGTTTCTCCTTCTTTAGCATTTAGGTCCCCTACCACAATTACTCTCTCAATTGGATCAAAGGTTCCCACACACTCGCTTAACATCTCCCAAAAATCTCTCTCTCTCCTCTACACTCCTCTCTTCTCCAGGGGCATACACACTTATTATGACCCACTGTTAACATCCGACTCTTATTTTGTAATAAAGTTGGTAGAATTACCGACAATATGTAAAGTAAAAGGACACAAGTGCAACTAATGTGACATTTATTGTGGCAACGTTTCGCTCTCCAGGAGCTTTATCAAGCCATTACAAACAATACATGGACACAGAGGGTATATAAAGGCTCAGAGTGAGGTGAATACTAGTGAGGTACCATTTCGATGTTCACTAGTGGTAGTAGTAGTAGTAGTAGTAGTGGTAGTGACAAAAGTAATACAATATGGTAGAGCAATAAATTCGTACATGAGTAAAAGGATATAAAAGC